CAGACAAGTTGCTAAATACAAGTCTGCCACAAATATTTGCTCATCAGCATGTGTTCATCTGCATGTGTGAAATTTTGTGCTTGCCATGCACACACACAGCTTTTTAAAACATCACTTTTGTATGTGAAGTAGTGTGCCTGTACACCCATGCACACACACAACTGTTGTGAGTCATAAAGGTTTTTTGGAACATAGATAGCACATTTTAAAAAAATAATTTTATTAAATTTTCCAAAGCATATAATAGAAACAAAACAATCAAACAAAACAAACAAAACATACAAACATATAAACTGTATACTTTCGTATTCTTATCTTCCTACACCTTACTTCCGCGGACTTCCCCATAGCCTCCCTTTATCTGCATCCTTGTTTTACCTTTCTTCAGCAACCCTCCAACTGATTAATATAAATTCACCTTTCATTCTTAATTTCCCTTACTTCATTGTTTACAGCTTGCAATTCTCTTATTCTTAAACCTTAACATGCTCATTTACACTTCAATTTTCAACATTTTTAAGGTAAATTTTAAATCCTCCTCTTCCACCTCTTCCTTCCACTGTCTCTTTCCCCTGGTCATAGGATTCTGCCGGTCATCTCTTCCAATCCCATGTTAGTCATCACCATTCGCTTGCCATTCTTCAGAGTGGGTAACTCTTGTGTCTTCAATACTTTGCCAGAAGAATTCTTGCTGCTGCAGTAGCATACATAAAAAACATCCTATCCTTCCTTGTCACCAATTGGCCAACCATGCCCAGGAGAAAGCCTCAGGCTTTTTAGAGAAGGTCCCATTTAAGAACCTTCTTAATTTCATTATAGATCATTTCCCAAAAGGCTTTAATCTTCGGGCATGGTCCACCAAAGGTGATAAAAGGTACTTCAGTCTCATTACATTTCCAGCATTTGTTGTTGGGCAAATGATAAATTTTTGGCAAGCTTGACTGGGGTCATGTACCACCTGTAAATCATTTTCATAATGTTTTCTCTTAATGCATTACATGCCGTAAACTTAACACCAGTATTCCATAACTGTTCCCAGTCAGCAAACATAATATCATGACCAATGTCTTGTGCCCATTTAATCATAGCTGATTTAACCGTTTCATCCTGTGTATTCCATTTCAACAGCAAATTATACATTCTTGACAGTTCTTAGTATTGGATTCTAACAGTTCTGTTTCTAATTTTGACCTCTCCATCTGGAAACCTATTTTCCTGTCCTGTTTAAATACCTCGTTTATCTGGAGGTATGCAACCAATCTCTTACCTTAGATTTTAATTTCCTCATAACTCTGTAATTTAACTCTTTCTCCGTCTTGTTCTAAAGATTTCACAGTATTTTGGCCATTTCGACTCCATATTAAGTTTTTTAGTCTCTTTAGCTTCCATTGGTGATAACCACCTGGGAGTTTTGCTTTCCAATAGGTCTTTGTATCTTATCCACACATTGTATAATGCTTTCCTAACGATATGGTTTTTAAAGCCTTTATGCGATTTTACCTTGTCATACCATATATATGCATGCCAACCAAATCTATTGTCATACCCTTCCAGATCCAAAATGTCTGTATTCTCAAGAAGCAGCCATTGTTTCAACCAGCAGAAAGCTGCCGATTCATAGTAGAGTCTTAAGTCCGGCAGGGCAAACCCCCCTCTATCTTTTGCGTCAGTTAAAATCTTAAATTTTATTCTGGGCTTTTTGCCCTGCCAGACAAATTTGGATATGTCTTTCTGCCACTTCTTGAAACAGTCCATCTTATCCATGATCTGGAGTGTCTGAAATAAAAACAGCATTCTAGGCAATACATTCATCTTAATGACAGCAATTCGGCCTAACAAGGAAAGTCTCAATCTTGACCATATTTCTAGATCTTTCTTTACTTCTGTCCAACATTTGTCATAGTTGTCCTTAAATAAGTTTACATTCTTAGAAGTCAGATTTACCCCCAGGTACTTCACTTTTTTTGTGATCTCTAAACCTGTTTCACTCTGAAACTTCTCTTTTTCAGCCATTGTTAAATTTTTCTCCAACACTTTTGTTTTCTGTTTGTTCAGTTTAAATCCTGCTACTTGACCAAATATCTCAATTAGTTCTAATACTCTTTTGGTACTAGTATCTTGCTGTTGCAAAGTCAATACTAGGTCATCTGCAAATGCCCTTAGTTTGTAATGTCTAGCTCCGACCTGAACTCCTTTAACCAACTGGTCCTTTCTAATCATATTTAACAAGACCTCCAGGACTGATATAAAAAGTAAAGGGGATATTGGGCATCCCTGTCGTGTACCTTTTTCTATAGGTATTTCTTCCGTAACCACATTATTTACAATTAACTTTGCTTTTTGTTTAGAATATATAGCACCTATACCGTTTTCAAAACCTTGGCCTACCCCCATCCCTTGGAGATTCTTCTTCATAAAACTCCAGCAAATGTTATCAAAGGCTTTCTCCGCATCCACAAAAATTAAAACAGCTTTCCTATTAATGTCCACTTCTAACAATTCCAAAATGTCTATAATGTTCCTCACATTATCTGACATATGTCTCCCTGGAAGAAAGCCAGTTTGGTCCTTGTGAATCTCCCCTACCAACACTCTCTTCAGTCTTTTTGCCAAAATATCTGCGAAAATTTTGTAATCCACATTGAGTAGTGATATAGGGCGGTAGTTTTTAACCTGGTTCTTTTCAGTCTCAGTTTTCGGTATAAGTGAGATGAAAGCTTCTTTCCACGATTCAGGTGCCTTTTTCCCCTCCAAAATTTCATTGCAAACTTCCATCAGTGGTTGTACTAGCCATTCCTTCAATGCTTTATAATATTTAGCCGTCAAACCATCTGGTCCTGGAGATTTTCCCAATTGCATATTCTGAATGGCACCCTCTATCTCTTGTCCTGTTATTTTCTCATTCAAAATCATTTTGCTTTGCTCTGAAATCTTTGGTAATCCATACTTCTTGATAAATTCTTCTATTTCTTGTTCGTTGACTGGCCCTTGTGCATATAATTTCCTGAAAAAACTTTGAAAGCAATTACTTATCTCATTTGGTTTGTGGATTATCTTTCCGTCCATTTCCAGGCTTGTCACAGTGTTCAGTTTTTGCCTCTTTTTCAGTTGCCATGACAGAAGTTTCCCACATTTATCTGCCGATTCAAATGTCTTTTGTCTCATTTGCTTTATTTTCCATTCTATCTCTTGATTCATCAATTCCATGTATTGCATCTGGTAGTACTTTATTTCCCTCAAAATCTCGTGAGGGGAGTCTGACTCAGGATAAGGCAGCCTCCAATTTCCTATGACTAATAAATGTAAACAAATAAATATTAAATGAAACACTGAAGATTTCATTCATGGTATGTCCCGCAGAGGATCCTAAGGTCCATGAATAATAACACCTTAAAGGTCCCAAGCCCTGAGGAAGCCAGACCATCCTCCATCAGGGCCAGGGCTTTTTCAGTGATGGCTCCGACCTATGTTCCACAACTGTTGAATTTCAGGGCTATGTGATGGAAATTATTATACTGTTCATAAGTCTTTAGGTCTAGAGACTAATTCTGCAGCTTTCCACTCTAAAATTATGCTGGTTGTTTAAGATAGGGCTTCTAGAAACTTTAGAAGAATCAGGCTATGGTAGATGCATAGGAAATGAAAAAAAAAGAATTTTTTGTTGTTGTTGTTTATTGATAATGCATGGCAGAATTTGTATTTGTTTAAAAACCAAAATAAAAATGTGTTTTTAAAAAAGAATGCATGGCAGACATATGTAGCAAAGGGCTGATATAAAAATTGAAATTCAATTGTGGTTTTCACCAAGCGTCAGTGATGATAAGACGAAAAGCCCAAAGAGGGATAGAGAAGTACAAATGGCACCAGAAAAGTCTCCTTTGGAGAAAGGGTTCACTTAGGTCCCTTTTCTTGCAAGCTGGTGGTAGAAAATTGGAGTAAATGTTGCTCAGTCTGAGTTAAAACTGCCAAAAAGCAAAAGAGAAAGAGATAATAATCAAATGGAAGGAAGAAACTTGATCAAGCGTAATACTGTGAAACAAACTTAGAGGTGATAGGAGTCAGCAAATTAGATGAGAGACGTGATCCTACGCCCATTGAAGTGAACTGGCAAACGCTGCAGGCTCAGCCCATGTATTTGAAATGTGATACAGCCACAAAAGTGCTAATGCTATTTTAGGCTGTGTATGCAAACGCAAGACATGGAGAAGCAAGGTGATAGCCCTCTTCTTTGCCTGCATCCACTGGCTCTGCATGGGTTACTTGGTACTTCAGTACTGGAAAGATGCAGACAAGAAGGAAATTCAAAGAAATATTAATGCCAGAAATGAAGCTGCTTTGCCCTGGAAGCTGCTTCAGGAAGAACTGACTTTGAAACTTGCACATGTTACCATAAACAATGCTTTCAAGTGGTGAAAACTTGCAGTGTAAAAACAGTGGGCATTTTGCCACAGTTTTATTTCAGGTTGCCCTCAACTCACTCTCATGCTTTAATTTTGGTATACACGGGCTTACTTTTTGAAATCAGGATGTAGAAAAGAAAGTGTCATATCAGAACTTGTGTCCACATTTCTTTTTCTGGGGTGGAAATGGGAGCAGAGTCCTAGGTTTCTCTGATGTCTTGCCACTGATTTGATTTCAAAATGCAATTTCTGATGAAAAGTTTCCAAGTGCATTTGTTGACAGAGAACACAAAACAAAGAAGCAGCAGCGTTTAAAAGCTGCATCTGTAAATACAGTACTAATGAAAGCTTTTCCTATGTTTTAGCTGAAAGAAGGGCATAAAAAGAAAACCACTAGTATTTATGATTTTATTTCTTCCAAAAAAAAATATTTAAAATTGTAAAAGCGATTAATCCTAAAGTAAAATATCCCACAACAGCGAAAGAGAGTAAAAACTATAAGTCTGTTAGACTTATATTTGCTATTGATCTCCTTCTTTTTGTTTCAGTAGCTTGATACAAGTGCTCAAGTTTAATTGCTTTTGTCACTGTTAAATTTAGGTCCTGATTATATCAAGCAGCGATTTCAAGAAGGTGCAGATGTTAAGGAAAACCCTGAAGAAAAAGCTCAGGAAAAAGCACCTACACCAAAAGAATCTCCTCACTTTTATCGAAAAGGCACTACACCTCCTGGGACCCCGGAAGAGAGCCCAAGGCAAAGCCCCCTCCCCTCTGCTGAGCCTTCCCCTGCAAAACAAGGCAAAAAGCAAAACTCCTCCTCTGAGGTCAGACTAATCCAAGAAAAAAAGAATTTTCCTAGTGAAAATGTGACACCTGTGGTCAACAAACCTCTTTATTCGAAAGCACCTGTGAAGGAGGATATGATGGTAAAGCCCCAGCCAAAGTTGTCACCCCGCAACAATCCTACCCACACAGAGAATGGGGAGTTGCATGATCATTACCATGGCTATTACGTGAAACCGAATCCAACAAGGTACCCATTTGAGCTCGGGGAAGACGAGGACCATGCCAACCCATCATCTTCAGCACTTGCACTAGTAGCATCAGCTCAGAAGCCAAGCCCCAACAAATCTGGGATTCAGTTAGATGCCAAAGAATCATTAAAGAAGCCTGAATCTGTTGCACCAAAGAATCCCGCAAATAATGACTTCTATTCTTCAGTGGGGAGAGAAGTCAGTATGGTAGGTACTGAGCACTGAGAGTTCAAGTCTGGGCATAGGCCAGAAACCATGTAAGATATTTCTGTTTAGATGAGTTGGCCTCTGAGTGGCCAGGCATATTCAATGTATTTGGTGGCGTTTGCCTGCTATGTTTTATGTTTTCAGTTTAGTTTACATCTCCATCAGAATTCTCTCACCTTCAAGGGTACAAATGCGAAGCAGTTAATTTGAAGCCTAACTAGAACCCTTTCTGGATTCCTGTTCTTTAGGACTGGACTCTGCAATCCTAACTGAGCACAAACCTTTTCCACGTGGAAATAAGGTATTAAAAAACACTCCTCGCATTCAAGGTGCCCCATGCATTTAGCTCCTGCCAGCCTAGCAGTTCAAAAGCAGTAGATAAATAGGTACCGCTCTGGCTGGAAGGTAAACAGCGTTTCCATGCGCTGCTCTGGTTTCGCCAGAAGCAGCTTCGTCATGCTGGCCACATGACCCGGAAGCTATACACCGGCTCCCTCGGCCAATAAAACGAGATGAGCGCCACAACCCCAGAGTCAGCCACGACTGGACTTAACGGTCAGGGGTCCCTTTACATTTATGGAAGTTGAAAAGGTACTCAGGATAAATCAGTTTCGCAGCAGGGACATTTATAAAATTAACAACATCAATCAGTTTGATCTCAGTGCTCACATTTTTCTTAACGTTCACATCAAATTAATATCTATGTAAAATATGCTCATAAAATATTTGGCAGGGATGAAAGCAAGCAGTGTGTACGGAATTCTCCCTTTCTTTCACCACACTTCAATAATACTGATAAAGTCAATGGTGACTCTTTCACCAAAAGGCTTTTACTTTTCATACACACATTAACCCTATTCAGGCATCCAAAAGTCTGCATGGGGTCTTAAACTGTAGAAAAGGGGTCAGAGCACACATGCAGGCCCCATGTTCACACAGCTTGGCTTCACTGAAGCCTGAAGAGGGCTTCTAAGTTCTGAATGTGCTTTAGAAGTCTTCCTAAGATGGAAGAACCTACAATATTAAGGTCACTGGCCGGCTTCTAAGTACCCCATTCAGATATTATTGCAAATTCCTGCTCTAACAGCACACCTGATACCTGCAGACTGGTTGCGGTTTAATGTAATCCCCCTTTTGATTGCTGCAAGCCTAAATAGGCTAGCAGGATCAGCATAGGTTGCTCAGTGACAGTACTGGCAACCCCACCACCACCATTTTTAAACCTGGTGAACTAGTAAGTATTTCTTTTTTCCTTTGCCACTACTGTGTCTGCAATACTTAGGACTCACTGGAGGTCTGCCATCTGCAAATGTCCTAAAAACACTGAGTTACTTCTTCATATTACTAACATGTCCTTCAGACATTGCAGCAGCAGCACGAAAGCTCCTTATCCATGACTCCATCACACACTGCCACTAATGGGTCTGCCCATGGGCTGTAAGGCTTATCACATGAGTTTGTCCCATGCAGTTGCCACCTGGTTAAAATTAAGGGTGACAGCTGGATGGGAAGGATCTGTGTGTGGTTGACCCCACTCACATAGTGACAAGCTTTTGAATGCTTTGGCAGCAGTGTGGAATAAAGTCACAGATAAGAGGCTTCTTGAGATTTCACCTAAGGAAGGGCACCTAATGCAACATGGACTGCTGAACAAATACTAATTTTATCATCACTGATAAACATGGCCATATTGGCAACTCAACACCATTTTTATGGGCAACTTGGGGAGGGAGGAATCTGCTTCACACTTTAAATTGGAATTACATTAGCTGGTGCTATGCCAGTGTTTCACTGGCATTGTTTGCATTCAGCACTGGGGATTGGCTTCATTTTACTAAATAGTTTTCTTTAAGAGCAAATTGTGCTCATAAATCAAAACTAGAGATTGTTTCCCCAATCAAGATTGACTGGCTATCATTTTAGGGATGTTATCCAGTGAAAACAACTTCTGTTTTCATGAGCAAAGATTCATTGGGTTTTTCACACACTCACACCCTTGCTGACTACCTTGGTTCATTCATACATTGCTATGTTTATGCTGTAAATGAGATTATAAATTTCTTGTCTTTCACAGAACTGCTAAGAAAGCTTCTCATGTTATATTTTTATATGTACCCATCAAATAGTTCACATCTTTAAAATACAATGTGTGAACTGAAGAAATGTATGTTTGTAAGCATGCATGGGTGCTTTAGAAAAGAATCTGAGATAGACTGTAGCTCCCTTACAGTGCATCCTTTTGTAGCAAACATGGGGTTTGTACTGTGCAACAATTTAGGAAACTTTTATTTCAGGATGTGAGAGAATAATCCAAAGGCTATAATCTTATCAGAGATGATTGACTCCTTCACCTTCCTGAAATTTTGGATTAACTTTTTGAATGTGCAAAGAAATCTGTGGCTAAAGTGAGTTCAGGAGTTGTCATCCTAGGACGGCAGATCCTGTAAAACTGGTTTTCAGGGCACAGTAAAAGGACACCAAACCAAACTACAGCTAATATTTCGAAGCATAAGAGGGAAAGAAAAACAGAAATATTAACTTAATGGTCATTTCACAGATGATTGTTTTCTTACATGTAAGTTGCCTTACACGGGCTTTGCCCTAAAGGGCAGTCTAGAAATATTTAAAATAATTTGCTGCAACTTTTGTGTAGATAAAAAATACACATAAATACAGAAGTGATACAAGTTTAACATGATGATGGTGAAACGTGGCCTTAGTTACTGAGTTAGCAAAAACATTGACAGTTCTTCTGCTCTTTGAGTTCTGTTCCAGAGAGTCTCCCAAATATCCAGATAAGAATGCAATTGATTCTTTGCCAAGTGAATGAATTTCCTTGATTGTTGGTTTGGATTTGCCAAGTGAAATACCTGTCCTCCACCAATATAGGGATTGATGCTGTGTGTTTTTGATTCCACACGCACACACAACCCACCACAGCCCAAAGGGTGTGCTTATGATTACCCCTTCAACCCACTCACACACTTTGCCCAGAAATATATCTTTCTACGAAAGCATATATATATATATATATATATATATATATAATGACGCAGATTGTATTTCTGCAATGATTAATAATGAAAAAACAATAAGTATAAACAGTATGATAGAAAATTTAACAGTTTATTATAATGTTATAGTAAAGTATTAATATTATAACAAAAATATGTGCATCAGGCTTATATTTTAATGTTCACAAAATGCAAGAAAATCTCATTTTTGGTTACTAGTTATTATAGATTCACATGAAGCTGTAAGACGATGACTGTGCCTTCGGTATGCAGTTTTGCTGTGTCACAGAGGGCAAAAAAATGAGAGAAAGTCTAAAAATAAAACAATTATTGGTGGTTAATGAGTAACATTAGCACCTCAGTGAGACAGAAGTTAAAATGAACACACATTTTAGCAGTACCCAGTTAAGTTAAAATGTTGGTGATGGTAGCTGACTGAATTATATTGGAATAAATGTCATCATATTAAAAAAAAAATCAAGAACAAAAACAAGTATCAGGGAACTCTGCAGAAAGTCACTGCTAGCAAAACTACTTCAGAGAGAATGGGCAAGTGGACTTTTAGCAAATTCCACCACCATCCCTACGTCCAGAGCACAGTTGCAGGTGGGGGAGGCTGCCAAGAACATTAGAGGAAAGGTTAGTGCCTTTATGCAAGAAGGGTATTCTTCTTTTGCACGGACACTATTGGATACAATTGAATGTGTGCTACAAATGAGGTAGCTCAGTTTGTTTTTTACTTATTTCAAAGCAAGAGATAACCTCTCTGTCCTCAAGAGATCTCCTGTGTAGCTTCCAGTTATTTTGAGCATCAAAAGTATTTCCAAAATGATTTGTGCGCTACCAAGGTCTAGTTGGCACAGAAGTTTTGTATAATGTTGCTTGCAGATTTTCCTTTTGTCTTCAGTACTATTTCAACCCTTGGGGGGCGGGGGGAATTACCTTCCTTATTCTACCTCTTCTCCCAGCCTTTTCAGAAACAGAGAACCTCCAGTGAATCATTCCGCAGAAATGAGAACCGCAAAGCTATTGGAGATACTATCTGATGAGGTTTGAGAGCTTAATCAGAAGTGCTAGGAAATGTTTTGAATAAGTCTTGGAGTACTGAAATGATTTTTTGTTTATATGACAATATATTGGTAAGCTACTACGTAAGTTTATAAGGGATACACTGATTCTAAAACAAAAAAATTAGAACTATGTGAATAAATCACATCGTTGGGTTACAGGGCTACCTTATATCAAGCCAAGCAGCTGGTCTACAGAGCCCAATACTGTCTGTTTTCATAGGTAGAGGCTTTTCAAGTTTGGAGCCGGATATATTTCTTGTCCTGGTACATGATGTTCTTTTAGCCAAAGAAAACGGAGACTGGCCATTGGATCAATGAGCAACAGCCCTCCCCTTCACTGTGCTCCATAAATAAGGGAAATCTGCATGAAAAATAATAACTACTATTAGTTATAATAGTAGACTAATCAAAAACTAACATTAGCTTTTTATAGTTGATCGTCCTTTTCTTTTAATATGCTGCCTGCTAACAGTGAGCCAATATGTCACTGTATTATACTGTGCTGTTTTTTTTGGTTTTTGCTTTTAATTACTTCTTCATTTTACATACTTCCCTTTTTTATGCCTTAAGCCTACTGTTATATAAGAGTTGTACGGACAATTCCGGGCATGCATAACGCTTTTCTGTTACAGCTTCTTTCTAACACCTGTTCAAATCAGTCATGGAAAGCAGAGACTAATTTTGCCTTTTTCTATTTTAAGCCCTTGTAGAAAGCTGTGAGGCCTTATTTATGGCACTTCACCCTAAAGCATTTTGAAGTCTCACTATAAATGTTTTAAAAGCCAGAAATAAGAGTCACATTTTTAATTCCATGGGTGGAGCAAAGTTCTCTGCAGTTTCTTTGATCAATCCAAAATGCCTAAGCAATTCAGAGCGGGGGTTTTGGCATTGCTCAAGGTTCCCCGTCCCATTCTCTCATTCTCATTCTCACTCCTTGAAACTCTCCACTTATCTTTCTTCATAATCCAGCAAAGCATAACCTTTTTATTTGAGCTTAATCCATAAATTTAGTTCCATGGTAACATTTAAAGCTGCATTCACATGGTAGTTAATTTCATTTCTCTAACTGTTGATTTCCATATTACATTTGAGCTTTCACATGATATAAAAGACACTTCTGGAATTCTAGTGGACTATAGTGCAAGTTTAGGATCATTTGGCTGTTAACTGGCTCCAGATATAATGCATTTGTAGCCCCAATAACCCAGAAAATCACAGGCATAAAGTGACAAAATTTTGGGTAGCATACTGTCATATATCACTTCAGTGCTGTTTTTATGGGTAAGTCATGAGGGAACAGAAGCATACATGATATTTATTTATTTATTTATTTATACATACATACATACATACATACCCCGCCCATCTGGCTGGATTTCCGCAGCCACTCTGGGCGGCTTCCAACAAAATATTAAAAATACAATTAAAACATTAAACATTAAAAACCTCCCTAAACAGGTGCAAAAAGAGTGGAAGAGTTGTGAAGTTGTCTCCAATGGTGTTTGTTGTTGTGCCACACCACACCCACTGCTGTGAATGGAATTTAGCTTGACATGCCAGTATATTGGTCAAAAAGTCACAGTTCCATAATGCAACAGATACTGCGGCGTGAAAGGAATGTTAGAAAAGGAGAAAGTGCTAGTCAGGAAAACTAATTCAATATCCCCCGAATCTGAATGCACCCTAATAATGCTGGGATCATATTGGGATTGAAATGTGCCTTTGAAGGTTGCTCTGAGATTATGCATATGGCGCAGCAGAGGCTGCTCTCCTCTGTTTAGAGCTGAGGTATTAACTGCCACAGCAGTAATGTGTGGCATCATCCCAAACACAGCCTGTTGTGGTGAGTTTCTGGGCCACCATCAGCCACCTTCCAGAACAGGTAGTTGGTGGTATGGGAGTTTTTCATGTTAGGCCCCAGATCAATGTGCTACACATTGCAGGCACAGAAGACTAAGTCATCCTGAGGATGCCATTTCCAATACCTTCTACATAATGTGCTGTTCCAGCTGTTTGAAAGGTGGAGGAACAGCACTTCTTCATGATCCACTTGAGGAGATTAGGATACTAGATGACTATATTCTCCTTTTTTGTGTTAAAGGAAAACCCACATATTTTAAATTGTGAGAAGTCGACAAGAAATACATTTTTTTTAAAAAGAAGAAGAAGCAATCTTATACCTTTTCATGGACCAAGCATGACCTGCTTATAATAATCTTTTCACTTTCACGGAAACCATTAAAATGATGTCTATATTTCAGGCAGAGGTGATGGTTAAGTTGGTTGTGCTTTCTTTCCATTTTTACATCTATTAACAGCAAAACATCTCAAAGTGAAATGTTCCTCTGCAGAGGATTTGTATAATCTGGCTCAGATGAGGGAGGGGAGAATGTGTGACTGACATTGCAAGGGCTAACATTTCAGTATAGTTCTTTTGCTAATCTTTGTTTGCTTTTGCAAATGTCAGCGAATTTTGTTTTGTTTTTTCCACTTGCCACAAAGCAGAAAAACCTTCCTTCAAAATATATTATTTATAATATTTGTACAGCAAATAGATATCAAGGTGAAATGGGGTTGAAGCCTTCCACTTTTTTTTTTTTCAATCTTCACCTGCACTTCTAAGAACCTATGCACTGTTTGAAGCCCTTAGTGTTGCTCTGTTTTCCACCGCATAACTAGATTTCTAGGGAGGGAAACTGCTCAATCCATATGATAATCACACTTTTATTTACTTTCTCCTATTTTAGAAGATGTTACATAGTTGGGTGTCTCAAGAAATCACACTAAAGATGTGTTGAATCAGGAACAAAATTTATTGCTTCCAAAATAACATTTCAAGAGGGCATAGTAAAACCACAAAGAAGAAAGAGTCACATCTTGTGTTTTTGCTATTATGACACAATTTAGAAGCAGAATAATGTTCAAGGTTACGGTTGATCTAGTCATTATCTTATTTTTTTGTGAATGTAATCAAACTCCATTTTATTTCACTTCCAGGGTCCTAATTCAATCATGATTGTCCTGGTAATGCTGTTGAATATTGGTTTAGCCATTCTTTTTGTCCATTTTCTAACTTGATTGGAATTAGGAAAGGTAAGAATGGTCTCATGTTTCACCTGAAATTCTCTCCTCCCCCCAAATCTCAGTTCTAATCCTTCCCATTTCAAATGACAAAGCTTTACTATTTGCAAAGTTTAATGTTCTTGGCACTTTAATTTTAGCTATGCCTGAATGTGATTCAACATAGTTACTTAATGATATAACTGTTTTGATCCTTTAGTGAAGTCATGACAACTAGTGGCGTAAGCCCACAATTCTCGGCAGTTGTGTCATCAGCCTTTTAAATGGCAGGAGTCATGTTCAGACACAGGGAAGGAGGCATGGAATTAGGATGGGACACAAGAGAGATGAAACTTGGAAAACTCAGCCAGGGGCCTGAGCAGCAGTTCCTCTGCTGAGGATTTGTGGCTTTGAGGTCCTCTGAAAGCTGAAGCAAGCAAGCAAGGTGGGGGGGAAAAACCCTCACACACGAGCGTGCACACACACAAGCTTGCGTTGGTTACTCCATCTGTTCCAGCAAAGAGTGTGACTAAACTGGAAATGTACAGAGCTGCACTTTTGATGATGGAAGCTAACAGCTGCCTTACTATTTTGCCGTCTGATGTTTTTGGTGGGGGAGATGGGAAAAGCGACTGCCAGAGGAATGTGGTCAGAGGATTCTGTTGCTGTGGAAGCGATTCCAGTATTCACTCCTATCTCATTAGAAGAAATAGTTAGCAGCATCACTCACCAGTCTTATTCCATTACCTGCTGCTTTTAAAATCTCCTTGCAGTTTTCTGGGAGATTGTGTTTCATTTGCTCATGCATGATTCTGTTAATTTACTATTTATTTAAAATCATTGTACAGCCATAATGTAATAATGTAGACCAGCCTGGAAAACTTCAGTACTTTTCACCTGCTTCAGAAAAACAAAGCCTGTAGCATATGTGCAGTATAGATATTTCCTTAGAAGGCTCAGTTTCTTCACAAATTTTTTTTTTTAACCTAAGCTGGTAAAATCATCTTCCTCGAAGGCTTAGCAGGCAATATGCAACAGTGTTTTAAGCCATCATTTATATCTTCCTAGTGACAGTGGCAAGCAGAATTGTTTTTTTATGCTGTGAAATTTATCGGGATGTATCGGCGTACTGGATGAGCAAGGTAGAATATTTTGATAAGTGTGCCACTCAGCAGTTTGGATCTTAACTCAATATTGCAAAATTTTGCTGGCATTTACAGTCTTGCCTGATTGCACAATAGAAACTGTTCATTAACATATAAATAATTATTTTTAAAGTTCAGGCTTCATGTTGAATACATTCAGGTAGAGCATTTAAGTCTGTTAACAATGACTGATTATCAGTTTGATGCCTTTTAATGTTGTTAAAATGAGTCTGTAATCTTACCTCAGCCAGTTAAAACTGAAGCCTCAAACTTTCATTTGGATTCTTTGTCTTAACTAGATTTACAGTCCTGTGTTTGATGATGCGATCCATTTCCCCCCCTCCCTGCTGTAGTTACTGTATTCCATATTACTCAAAAGCATGCCTGTTTACTTATAGGAAAATTGTACGTGGAGTGGTCATTTTGAAAGTCAGCATTTTAATTAGAAATAAAAAGTAAAGGGTTTGGGTTTGGGTTTATCTGAGAGAAACGAATACTTTTCAGGAGTTTTATCCTATTTGTAAATTATAATTATAATTATTATTGTTGTTGTTACTATTATTATTTGCATGGTTTAATAGTGAGTTTTCTTCATAACTACATTTGCAATTGTAAGAGGCAGCCCATAAAATGGAAATGAATAAGGGATGGTTTTTATAGTCTGGAACAGCTCAAAGCAGGGCAGTAATACAGTGGCATTTTTTGCAGAAGTGGGTTTGAGAATCCTGTGTTTTGACCAGTGTGGAAATCGCGAAGAAAGCAGAAAGGCAGCAAATGAAACGTTTAACAACTTGTGTTTGTATGTTTGTTAAGGAAGGAAAACTTGTTTTACTTTTAAATTTAGAAAACTACTTCTTAATTGAGATTCAGGTTTTTAAAATTGTAACAAGCCTTGATGTCCTGTATAAACACACTTTCTTATCTACAGTTCACCCCAGTTAAGTTATTGCTTAAAATAATTTTGTAACTGACATTTAAATTTTATTACATGTTTATTTAAAAAAAAACATGGCTTTTGAAAATGTTTATAAATTTAAGCATGCTATTTCCATTTATAAATATGTATGATTTATAAGCTTTTTTAAAAAACGAAGCTCCAATCAAAAATTGTTGGTATTTTTCTAAAATGTGCACAGCTGTATTTTACATAAAAGGCTATTTATAGATGGTTGTATACTGTACACTACATTTTGGACAGCTCATTGATCTGCCAATGTACTTAATGATATGTCACTTTGTCTATTTAAAATTTCTTGCTGTGAATGAACTCTTTATCTAATGAGCTTCTTTATTTATAATTCTGGAACCCAAAATGGATAATGTACAGTTTTCTTAACTGTATTTGCTCTAATAAAAAGAAATTGTTACTAATGTGTATATGGGTTTTCTCTTTATATATATTTGAAATCCTGTGGTGTCGTCCCCCCAACTTAACGAATGTGAAATTGATTAGCAAACGATATGTATCATTTACAAATGAAAATCTCTTGTCTTACCTGCCGTGCTTTCTCATACAGATTAAATGCTTTATATAGTTTCCAGTTCAATGGTATGAATAATGCTTCTTTAAAGTGAATGAGTGAAAGGCCAGAGTTAACATTATAAAATTGTTCATTTATTAAATACAAAGCACCCCACAGCCCTCATTTCAGAGGCATTATGTGGGCTCAAACCAAGTAGCATAGTAACTCACCAAAATTACTCATCCTAGCTATATCTTTACCCTATGAGCACATGTAAAGTTACAGATCACATCATAAACTATAGAAAACTTCCTTTAATTCAATATCATTTTCCTAAAAGTGCCATTGGAGTTATTTCTATAGAATAACCCCTTTCTAAACTAAATTTCCATTTCTTATCTAGAGGCACAAAAAGAGTGAGAGCATTACAGTAAGCCATATAATTGTTAAAAGCACACTAGTCAAACATTTTATTTGGTTGTAGTACTCATGGCTGCAATGAAATTTCAGGTCTTTCCAGCATGCGTTTGGAATGAAATGCAGTCCTAATACTGTGAATACCGGTATATCAGTTTACAAGGAGATTCAACCAGTGACAAGCAAAGGATTTACCTTGCCTGAAATACGATTATGCCAAATTTGTTTTACAATTATAAACCCTTTTATGTTTTATTAAGCTTCTCAATATCCACTGGGTGTTTGAAACA